TAGTTACAAAGACTAAAAGTAAAATAATAAAACTGTTTTATTATTTTGCTATTATATTACTATTATATTACTTATATTAACAAACCTTCTATTATTTTACTATTATTTGGCAAATATAAGATAGAATAATAGCAGATTTTTTTTTGTTATTTATTCTTTATTTATTCATTTGACCTGTATTAGTTTATATATAATTTATTTTTTTCTTTTTGGTTTTTTGATATTTTTATATACATAATTTTTAATGCTTATATATTATAGTATTACTAGTATTTTTTTTTATTTACTAAACAATTTAGCTTTTTTTTCTTTATATAACAACTTTTAATAACTTTTTAGTTATTTTTATTTGATCAAGTTTTTATCTTATATATATATAAGTTGGTTTAAATATAGTAACTTTATTTATTCTTTAGTTTTTATTTATACTTTTATACTTTTCTTTTATACTTATTGTTAAGATTTCAGATCTGGGCTAATTTGAAGTTTTTAATTTTTCTTAACAAGACCAAACTTATTTTATATTATAACTATATATACTAATTATCAAAATCAAGTCAAAAATTTTATTTAAATTATATATATTTAAAATTGTTTAGTTTTAGTTAATTATTTAAATATGTTTATTATTCAATAGTATTGTTAAACATTTACTCTTTCTGCTAATCTCTTTTTTCAAAGATAGACAAGACAAAAATAATAGCAGCAAGCAAGATCCAACTTAGAAAATCTGTTCTAACATCTTAAAGAAAAAGAGAGTAGACAAAAAACAATATAAAGTTTAATAAAAGCTCTTTTTTCTCTTAGTTAAAATACAAAACACAAAAGAGCAACTTAGTTTTTTCTCAAAACTTTTTAAAAATTTAGAGAATTGTTAAAGTCTCTGTATAGCATATCAAATTAGATTGTACAAAAACATGTATATAACAAAGTAAACAAATAATAAATCATGTTTTTTTTTTGAGTAAATAAACAAATCTCAAGAAAACAACAATCATGTAATTAAACAACAACAAGAAAAGCATATAGCCCTTTTTGAAAAAATCTAAAATAGTACTATTAATAGATATTAGTTAATTATCATCTAAGCTTAATCTTAGAAGATATGTAAATTATACAAGCAAGTTTACTTACATTATTTAGAAAGCAAGTGAAAAAACCTTAGTTACTTAGATAGCAATATGTTGATTAAAGCACTAAAAATATAACACTACAGAATTTAAACAATATAAAATAAATAATATATAGTATAGCAATAGATAATCCAAATAAAATTACAAAACAGAATCTGTTGATTTGCAATCAGGTTCTTGAAGTGCTAAGACAAATTGAAACTAAAAGTCTTAAAAAAACATTAATTGAAAAATAAGTAATAAAAGCAAGAATAACACAACACAATCCAAAAACAATTAACTATATAACCAATATAAGTAGTTCAGCAATACTAAAGGAAAAAAACAAAATGAAAATAGAAAAAGAAGAGTTAAATATCAGGTCTCAACAAACTGGTCCAAAAAAGTAAAAACAAGAAGAATTAACATATAAAATAGTAGAAGAAAATAGTTAAAATATTACTGATAATATAAAAGATCTTACTATTGCTATAAAAGCTAGTATATTAAATCAAAACTATCTATTAACAAATACAGAAAAATTAGCAGTCAAGATTAGTGAAGATGAAAACAGAAGTGGAAAAAATAGATTGTTTTCAAAGACAGAACATACAGAGTTAAGTCAAGATAATTCTAATCTTAATAATAGAAGAAAATATATTAAAGATCAAAAAACAAATTTAAAAGAACAAATTATTTTAGCATCACTAGAAGATAATCTTTGGTTATTGCAAAATAGAATATATAACAAAAAAGATTTATTTAAAGCAAAAATCTTAATATACAAGATTTTCGAGAAAACAAAAGTGTACAGAATTAACTTTATGAAATAGATATTTAGAAATAACAAATATATCAAAGAAATAAAAAAAAGTTTACAGAATAAAAATAATTAAATTATAGTAGACTTTAATTGTGAATATAGCAGAAGAATAACAAGTAAGAAAGTGCTAAGAAAAGAAGATAACTGGTATAAACTTGATCCAATAGAAACAAAAAACAAAAGAGTAGTTTTAGCCATAGTACAAATAAAGAAAGATAAATCAAAAATTTAAAAAACAGTATAGTTAAATGAATAGCACTAAATTTACAGAAGATTAAATATAGATTTCATTTTGTAAAGCAAACAAGCTAAACCAATTCATACCAAAAGAGAAAAGAAAAAATGAAGAATTTAAACTCTATAACTATCTGGGATTTACTAGCAAACATTAGTTATAAAAAAATTAAGTTTATGTATAGAAGTATCAAAAATGCAAAAGTTATAAAAATTAAAAGATCTCAGTTTAAAACACTAACAATAATCAAAACAATGAGCAAAAACTATACAGAAATGTCTTGATAACTTTTTTAGACAACAACAAATTAGTATGAGTAATACAAAGTAAAGAGGATTACAAGAAAAGAAACAAAGTCATTTTATAACAAAACTTTTAGAAGTGTCCAAAGAAGCTTTTGAAGTTCTTTTGATAAGAAGTCTTAAAAGTAAAAAAGCAAAATCAGTATTTATATTAGTAAATAGCAATAATAACTTCAAAAAATTTGCAATTATTACTTTTGCAAACTAAAAAGACCTAAAATTAGTACAATTAAAGCCAATTTAATACTATAATTACTTAAACTTTTAGGAAGACTACAAAACAAGAAAAACATTAAGAAGAAAAAGTAAACTATTAAGAAAGAAAAATTGAACCAATAAAGAAGAAAATAATCAAAAAATAGAATATAAATATAGCACAAAAGATTCAGATAAGAATTCAAAAACTAAACAAGAAAAAAAAATTTTATTAAAAAAAAAAAAAAATTTATTAACTGAAGACTTACTATTAGGAATCATTAGCAGATTAGACAAACTTGAAGTATAACATAAAACAAAATTTTAGTTAGCAAGTTTTAGTTTTGCAAATTGCTTCTAAAAACTATTAAGATTAAACCAATGATTACAAATATAAAGTTAAGCTTCTTATTGCAAAGTAAAGAAAGAAGAACAAAATAACACAAAAAAATACTCTATATTTGAATAAAGTAATAAAAAACATTGTAAAAATGCTATTAAAAATAGAAAGAATATATAAGAATAAAAGAATCAAGTTAAAATTGGCAATACATAATATTAATAAACAAATTAAATAGCCAAAAGTTAAAAGCACTTTATGATTAAATAATTGACAATAAACTAGACATAGTAGATCTAGCAGAAACAAACATTTTAGTTAAAAAAGGCTTCTTTTTAGGAAAGAATTTAGAAGATTACAAAAGCATCTAGTTAAGTGCAAATCCAGATAAAAAGAAAGGTTCAAAAGTAGGATTATTAATTAACCAAAAATGAGAAAGACATTTAGACTATATAGAAAGAACAAATAAATATATGATTTTTGTTAGCTTTTTCTTTAAGCAGTTAGAAATTATAATCATAATAGTCTACTTATTTCCAAATGATAAAGAGGAAAGAAAAATAATTCAGAAGTTAATAATTAACAAATATGTTAAAAAATTACCAAGAATACAAATAATAATTATAAGAGACTTTAATGCAACAATAAATATGAACTTAAATAAACTATTAAACTAAAAGAAAAAATAAGCTAAACCAGATCTACTGCTCTGTTGGCTGGAAAGACAAGAGTTTAGTAATACATTTAGAGTAATTAACCCAAATGCAAGAGAGTTCTTATAGTTTGAATAAGAATTTGAATCAAGAATAGATTATATATAGGTTACAGAAGAACTAGCAGATGGTTTTTATAAAGCAAAAATTCAAAAATAAATATCTGCACAAATAGTAACTATAAGGAAGTTATAGTAAAGATAAAATCAAGCCATCTGATTATACCATACAATGCAGCAGAAATAAGAAAAAAAATTATAAAAGAACAGTTTTTTTTTATTATAAAGCAATCAAAGAAGACTGTAAAAAATATAGACAAAATCTTGATTTAGTATTAGAAAAAAAGATTAGTATTCAAGATCTACAATGTTTCTTACAAATAAATAAAGGCATTAAAGAATATAATCAATTAAATGAATGATGGAATACAATTAGCAACAGTGTTGTGCCATTAACCAATACTCAGTATACTATGTATGTGGAATGTTGGACAGTATAAATTGGGACCTTGATCATGAACTGTGTTCATAATATATATGACTATATGATTAAGTAGCTTGATACTATTGGCTAGGCAATATGCATAAATCAGATAGATCAATAATATAATAATTAGGTAGTTTATTATAGTATGTAAATTAAAATGTATCATTAATGGAAAGTCTATTATAGCTTGTATATAATCTTGCATAAAATATGTAGTCATTAATTTGTAGTCTGTGAGAGTCAAAAATTCTGTATAATAGAGTAGAGTTTAATAAGCCAAAAGTAAAGTTCTCTTTTTTTTCGTAATAAAAGGAATAAGCTTGTATTAATAGAGCATTTTTTGCTAGTCTTTGAGTCTTGTATATATGTGTTACTAATGCCATTGTGGTTGTGAGTGTATGTAAGTGTATAATGATTAAAAGGTATAATTGAGCTGCCAAACCTTGTACAAGCATATATATCTGCAAGTGCCAGCATTTGAGCTAGATTAACAGTAAAGTAACTCTTCATTGTGAGTCTGCACAACAAATAGTATTATCACAATAGCAAGAAAATATATCTCAAAAAAGAAAATTTCAAATACTTTAAGTAAAAAGAAAGAGAAAACAAAAGAATTTCAGTTAGGCAAAACTCTTACACAATTGAAAGGTGGATTAGTATAAAAAAAATAAATATCAAACTAGGGTTCTTAAAAAATAACATAAATAAACTAAATAAAAAAATTAGATTTATTAATTAGCAATATAAAACTTATATAAACTTAGCACAATTATAGATACACAAGCTCATTGAAGATCTAAAAGATTGGTAGAGAATACTTTAAGCAAGAAAAATCAATGAACTAAAAGAACAAAAAAGAAAAAAAATAGATAATATAGAAAAAAAATACTAAATGATTAATAAAAAACAAGGCAAAATGCTAATAAACCTTTTAGACAAATCAACAAAGAAAATTCAATTATACAGACTCATTAATAAAGAAGAAAAATAAAGAGGTCTTGTTATTAAACTAGCAGAAGTACTTATAAAGACAAAAGAATACTACCAAAATTAGTTTAGAATAAATTATTTTGATCAAAATATTTGTAAAGAAAAATAAAAAAAAATATATAAGCCAAAAGAGTTTATCAAAAAAGAATAGTATAAAGGTCTTAATCAAGATATTTCTAAAAAGAAATAGAGCAAGATAATTCAAGAACTTAAAAAAAAAACAGCACTAGGAATTTCAGACATCACATATATACTAATTCAAGTAGCAGAAGTTAAAGCACATAAAATTTTTAGAACATTCACTGAAATTTGTATTAAAACAAAAGCAATACCAAAGAAATAGAAATTATCACAAATTTATTTAATCCCAAAAGAAGGTGAATAGCATTATAATCTTAGCAATGTCAAACCAATAGCACTATTAAAAATATTTTAAAAATGTATAACAAAGATTCTAACCAAAAGATTAGCTAAAATATTTTGGCAAAAAAATATTCTTAGAGATCCAAACTTTTCAGAACTTCCAGAAAATTTAACAGAAGAGCCAATACATATTATAAATATGTTAATAAAAGATGCAAAAGAAAACAATAAGAAACTTTGGTTAGTTTTATAAAATATGAAAAAAACTTTTGACTTAGTATTATTAACAGCCTTAAAGATGGCTATAGAAAGAATTAAACTTTTTTTTTTGATATTAAGATAAGGTCTTGCTTATATCTTTATTAGTAATTTTAGTTATACATATTAATATACTATATATTAAAGATATACTAAGATTATAAAATACAAAATAAAAACTATATGTAAAAATTAAAGCTTAAATTACTTTATCTGTGATCTAAACTAACTATAATAGTCAAGGCCTACTAGATTTGTAATGTTAGAATATGATTATAAGATGTGCTATAATTAATTCAGAGTATTAACCATATATTGATTTTTCTAATAGTCTGTTCAATTAGTAAACAACTATTAGGACATAAGTGTAATTAATCTACTATTTCACATAGACATGAGTATATATAGTTTGTATATAATCTTTTGTGTTGCCTAGTTTGTTGCATCTGTTGTGAAGTATTGTAAATGTTATAAGTTTAAAGAGATGTAATATTGTTATTCTTTTTTCAGTTAGAGAGATTGATGCAGTATGGCTTTCATATTTGGTTATAAATTTGATCATTAATATCAAAGAGTGTTTAAATAATAATTTGTAAAGCTATCTTAGTTAGTATGTTGTAGTTATAAATTGTTTTAATTAAGGCTTTAGATATAAGGCCTTTAAGAGTAAGGTCAAGATAGAAAGAGTTTGCTTGAAATAATATTTAGTCAAATAAAGGATGTTTTTAAATTTTTTAAATAAGTTTATAAAGCTAACTAGTAGATAAATCAAGATCTGCTTTAGATACAATATACTGAATTGATGAATTAATAATATTTGTAATAAGAGAAGAGTTAAGACAAGTTAGCCAGTATGAGTGAGAGTCAAAAAGATTATATTAGAAGCAGTTAGTATTTGTAAAGATAGTTGAATATATGTTGTAAAAAGAGAAGTATGTTGATAGTTTATTTAGTAGAGCTTTGATTTTAAAGGCTTTGGATTGATTAAGTTTGAAGCTAGTAAAATTAGATAAGAGTTTTTGGTTATAATTGAGATATAGATATGTTGATTGCCAGTCTATATAGTAATTAATTATTGTTTCTTTTTTGTAAGGACCACATTGCCAATATGTGAGTTTTGCAAATATTTTTAATAAAGTATTAGATAAAAAGTTTAACAGAATTTTGTTCCTATTATAAAATATAAAAAAGGTTGTAAATGTTTGTATATTAAAAGTTTAAAGACAGAAAGAAGATATGTTGTTTTGCTAAAGAGTCAGCTATATTATCAAAGATATTATCTATATAAGCTTGAACTTTGTAAAAGTTGATATTTAAATTGAAGGATTTATAATATTAAGAAGTGTATGCCATAAAGGTTATATATTAAATTTAAAAAATTTGTTTGAATTATTGAGTTGAGTAGAGAGTTTGTAGAACTTAGAAATAACTAATTATAAGTTAGTATAAATTTGAAGTATTGTATTATAAAGTACAGTTGAGATTGCAAATAAGATAAAGAAGAGCTCTGTCTTATAAACTAATAGCCAGAGATAGATTTTAGTTGAAAATTTATGAAGAACTTGGTTGTTACTATCAATTAGAACCCATTTAATGCTCATTGAGCTTTGTTTAATTTCAATATAGAATACTGATTCATTAGTATAAAAATAAATTTTTTATATAGCAAATTGTTTTGAAAAATTTCTTCAAGTTTGTTTGAACAGTTATTGGATTTAAAGAGTTTTGTAATACTAGAGTTTGATATATTGATAATAGGATAGTTATGTGAAATTTGTGAAGAATGTTTAATTGCTGTTGAATAAATAAGATCTAGGTAGTTAGCATTAAGTTTAAGCTTGGAAGTTTTTCTTTTTAGAAAGCTAGTATAGATAGTTGCTGAAATATTAATTGTGCATGTTTGCTTAACTCTATTTGAGTTAAAATAACATCAAGTATATAGTGTGCAGTTTAAATCTGAAAAAGAATAATAGTGATTATGTTCTAAGTCAATATTCATATTTTCAATATGAGATAGAAAACTGGTTTGTGTTTGAAAGATATTTGTGAATTTTGCTAATAATGATCTCTTTATTATTATTATTATAAATAAGTAGCCAAGGTTTAAGTTTTTTCTTAATTGGTAAAGTATTATATACAAAAGCATTAACTTCTAAAGGTTAAAAATAAGAAAGGATTAGGCAATATAATCTGTTAAATAAAATTGTATCTTTCAGATAGGTAACCAAAAAGTTGCCTTTCTTTTATTAGATTATAAAGTCTTGAAAAAAAAATTAAACTTTTAGAAATAACAATTAAATAATCTTAAATCTTTTTTAAGACAGACAATCCAGAATAATTACTGTATATACTAGTATTATACAAAAGCAATTGCAATAAATGATAGAATAGAACAGAATAAAGTGCTTTTATTTTTGATATAGGAAATATTCTATAATCCTTTGCTTAAGAAAATTCAAAAAGATCTACAGCTGAGTTATATGATAGAAATCTCAAATCTATATAACAACAGTTTAAACTATTTATTAAAGACAAGTTAAAGACAGATAGTAGTAGCTTTTGCAGATATTACAACTTTGATAACAAATAGTTAAGAACAAATAAAGCAGACATTACAGATTGTAAAAGATTTTTTTGAACTAAATGACATTCAAATAAATAGAAAAAAGTCAAAGCTAATTATTATAAATCCAAGTGAACCTAAAGAAAATAGAAAGACAGGCTTAGTAATGAATAAATATATAAAAAAAAAAGACTAAAATTATAAGATTTTTTAGAAATTTGGCTCAATAGCAAATTCAATAAAAACCAAATTAAGAATAGAGTTCAATGTAGATCATTTGTCATATGATTTGCATGTCTGATTAAAATTTTTATAAAAAATTGAAAGATGTTACTAATAAAACTTTTTATAATTATATTTAATTTTTATTAAAATTTTATAATATATATATTGTGATAAGTAAACAGTGAGTCTGTTACTTCTACTAACCAGACCTCACATAATATTATGAAACAGTGAAATAAGGCTTCAAGGCATGAGATAAAGATTTGGTAAGTATACAGTTTTTTATCACTATGATGACTTAGATCCTTTTCTCCTACTTGGGGTGCCAAAGCTTAGTATTACTTTATTAAACTTTTGTTTGCTTTTATACAATTTCGCCTTTACTAATAAACTCTATTTATTTTTAGATTCCACTTTCATTTTCCCACCATTCCACCACTATATAATCATACCACTATAAGTTTCACTTAAACTAGGTAAGTATTGTGTGCTATTTGTTCTACTGTATTGTTATTTTAATGCAACTATACTAACCTGCCACGCTGAAACACCGTATTTACAATCTCATGCCATCTCCAATTTGGATATATTCACTTGGATCGATTGTTTTGGCATTGGGGGCATGATTATGCACATTTTACCATTTGTGGGATCGATTGTTCATAATCGATCCTAGGTCCTGATCTGCACTTGTACAATGTATCATAATGCATAAGCTGTCACGAATTTTTCGCCTGTAACAATATATTAAAACATGTTTTTTACAATAATATAAAATATATTTGTATATATTATAAAGTTTTCTGTAGTGACCTCAAATTCTCTGTGGTAACACAAAATCAATTATTTTGATTAGTTTATATCACATGATTATCATATAACAAAAATAATATCTAATCTTTAAATACATATTTCTTATTAAATATTTAACCAATTTTAATAATTTTACTACTATTAGAATCAGAAAACCCATTCTACAAACTTTACTTAATAATCTAAAATAATTAACTTAATAAAAAATTTTAAAATATTAAAAATAAAAAAATTTATCATCAAAGTCATATGAAAAATGATCTACATTGGACTCTACCCTTAAGTCAAGAGTAAAAGA